CCCCCCCCCCCCCCCCCCCCCTACTACTCCCACCCGCAGTTTTCTGCTGTTCCCTCAGCCCCTCCAATGCCCCCTCGGGGTTTTGGAGCAGATCCGAGGACTCCGCCTCCGAGTTACTGGGACGTGATGGGCTTGCCGGGCCCTGGCAGCAGCCCCCCCTGAGTCCGCGGTCGTTGAGAGTTCGGGCGAGCGGCCGGCGCGGAAACCCTTTTTTAGGGTTTGCGCCGCGCGGAAACCCTTTTTTAGGGTTTGCGCCGCGGCCCCGCTGGCAGCAGCCCACGCAGCAGCAGCCCGCCCCGCCCCGCGCATCCCGAATTTTTCAAAGTCCCCTCCTGCAGCACTTTGCAAACGGCAGCAGCGGAGATAGCGGCGCACTTCCAATGAGACTGGCGAAGCAGAGACGCAGTTCGCGCAGCAACGCGGTGCGGTGTACGTACACCCCGCGGTGTGCGTGCACCCCGCAGTGTACGTACACCGCGGTGTGTATATACACCACGGGGTGTACGTACACCGCAGGGTGTACGTACACCGCGGGGTGTATGTACACCACGGGGTGTATGTACACCACGGGGTGTACGTACACCGCGGAGTGTACGTACACCACGGGGTGTACGTACACCGCGAGCCGCGAACGGGGCCGCGCAGGTACAGCGGAACTCCAGTTTGCTTCTTCACTTCAAAGCCCGCTGCAGCAAAGGGGCAAGTTGTAATTAGTTGAGTAGAGGGGCGGGAAGAGATTTTGATTTTTGCAACTCGGCGGAGTTGGCCGGAGTTGAAGACGCAGCCAGCCTGGCAGCAGCCGCAAGATGTGCTGCATGCAAAGATGTGCTGCATGCAAATTCGAAACAGCTCAGCAGCTCTGCATGCATGCACACGGGGCTGGCCTTGAGGTGGACAGTTGCTGCAGCAGATATTTTTAAGACAGCTGCGGCGTCGCCAGCAGGGGAAGTAGGAAGTGGCAGTCTTTGTGTGGGGTTCGGGCTTTTGGGGTTTGCTGCTGCTGCTGCTGCAAGCCACAGCAGCAGCAGCAGCAGCTGCTGCTGCTGCTGCTGCTGTGGGATAGGGGGGAGCGCTTAGTGCCAAAGGTGCATTTCTCGCCTCTCGCCAGGAACACGCAGCGTCTGTTCAAACTTCAAAAGCCTGTACTAGGGCGAACTCATTTTAAGTTTTCTTCCTGGCTCTCTCGAAAGCAGCAGCAGCAGCAGCAGCAGCAGCTGCTGCTGCTGCTGCTGCTGCAGCAACGGCAGCCTTAGTCGCAGCGTAGTCATCCACAGCTAGAGCAGTTGCTTTCTTGCTTCTAGCACGGTCTTTTGTGTTAAACTTTGGCCGGCCGTCTTATCGGCTGAGCTTGCAACAGCAGCAGCAGCAGCAGCAGCAGCAGCAGCAGCAGCGGAGTGTACGTACACTGCTCCCCGAACAGCACTTTCGCTCCTTTTTTGCAATTTTATTTCTTGCAGAATTCTGGAGCGCTGCAGTTATTATTTCTTTTTGACTTCTTTTGCTGCTGCTGCACTTGCTGAAGATATTTTTGAATTCTGTTCGATATTTGCATTTTATTTATTAGTGCAGCAAAGAAACTCTACCAAAAAAAAGTTCAATATGAAATAATTTGTATTTAAAACCTTTTGTATTAAGTCAGAATTAAATATTAATTTAGAATTTAATTATAAATTCTAAATATTAATTTAAAATTTAATATTAAACGAACATTTTGCACAGCACTCAACAGCAAGTTTGCCAACAGCAAAATGCAGAGTCGCCAAATATTTCAAATATTGCAAAGAGGTTTTCTTTGGAGTTCAGCAGCAAGACAAAGGAGCCAGCCATTCGCACTGGGGCGCAGCAGCAGCAGCAGCAGCAGCAGCAGCAGCAGCAGCAGCAGCAGAGGTTTCCAACGGCTGCGTCACGCGAGAGGCTGTTGCTCCTGCTGCTGCTGCTGCTGCTGCTGCCACAGGGGAGGGTTCCGCGGGTCAGCTGGAAAAGCGGCCAAAAGCCCTTAGCCGCAGCAGCAGCACAGCTTTCCGGCGGCACGAGTGCGCCGCGCTGGGCAAGACCAAACGCACTCAGCAGCAGCAGGAGCTGCTGCTGCTGCTGCTGCAGCAGGAGCTGCTGCTGCTGCTGCAGCAGCAGCCACAGGGTGCAGTCGCTACGTGTGTTCACGAGTGTTGTTCTGAAGAGTCGGAGCAAATGGGAAAAGTCAAAACAAATAAATAACAAGACGCAAGAGGGCCTCGGCTGTACAAAGTTGAAGACAAGTTTCAGTTTTTGTGGAAAAGATGAAGTGCATTTGGTTTGTGAGATTTGCAAGTGGAAATTCCAAAGCAAAGCCGGACTGCTTTGGCTGTTGAACAAGACTGGAGAGCCGGGTTTCATTCCCGGTGTTTCTTTTTGTGTTTTTTTTGTTTTTTCTTTTCTTTTTTTCGTTTTTTTTTCTTTTTTTTGCGCTTGGAAGCTTCGCTTTCGCTGTCGGAAGCGACGGGCGTGAGGCTTCCCTCGGACTTGGAAAGCTGCAGCCCGCTGAGGAACTCCACGGGATTCAGCCAGGGAGTTTTTTGCTTCAATTCTTCTGTGTAAAATCTGTCGGGAAGCCACGCGTCGGAGGCGCTTTCTTGCCGCTGCAGCTGCAGCTTTTCCTTTTCCCGCGCAGCGCGCTGGCGGGTCGCGGCGTGTACGTCGACCGAGCCGAACTGGCGCGCGACTTTTTCCTTCACCTTTTCCACCACTTCTTTGTCAATTCCTTCGACTTTAATGGCATCTAAAACCCTTTTTGCGCTGCTGGGGACCGCGGGGGCTTCGCGGGGCGCCTGCGCGCGGCCTTCCGACCGCAGCACCCCCCAGGTGTCTTCGTGTTTCCTCTCCAGTTCCTTTTCGCGTTTCCGCCACAGCCGCCGCTTCTCCAGCGCTTTGTTGAAGTCCGTTACCTGTTTTACATGTCTTGTGATCAAATTTGCCACGGGAACTTCTTTGTTGCTGGCCAGATCCTTCACGCGGTCGTCGATGCGGCAGTGCAGGATGCCGCTGCAGCTTTCCAGCGCCTCCGCCGACAGTTCCGCCATCTCGGCGCAGCAAACGCTTTCTTTTTCTTTATAAGTGCGACTTCGCGCGGAAGTTCTTTTGAATTCAAAAATAAAATGCTCTCGGGGGCGCTGGAGGCCCGCGGCACTCCCTCAAGAACTGCTGCTCTCCGCAGCCAGCAGCAACTGGGGAAGACGACGCGCTGCGTCCTCCATTGCGAAGACTTTCTCTTCGCCTCTGAGAGCAAACTTGCAAAATGCAAATTCACTGACACGCAACTTCACCGCAGCCAACTCAGTCTGGAGGACTCCGCAGCTTTTTGCAAACCCTTGCAGACTCGACGCCGCTGCGCAGCCCGCGCAGTGGCCGCCCGGAGCGCTGGAAATAAAACGAACCCGACTTAGGCTCTAAACAGCATTTGCAAACTGGAAAATAGTTTTTAAACGAAAGAAAACTGCTGCTGCTTCTCTTCAAAACGCCTCCGCCGCAGCCTCAGCCCCAAACCTAGAGACTCCGACTGCTGCCAGTTCGCAGCAGCAAGCCCCGGCAAACAGCCGCAAAGCCGAAATCTGAAAACTTGAATTTTGCAAATTCCCAAATTCCCACTAAGTCCCGCATGCGCTGCAGCACGCGCTGCAGCTGGGGGCTGTGTTCTCTCGTTGAAGCTGAACTGGCTGCTGCTTTTCCATAAGAAGCGCAGCAAACTTCTTATTTATTTTCAATTTGCAAATTGTTCAACTTTTCATAGTTCAAACTGCTGCTGCGCGTTGAAGTTCCCAAGCCAGAGTCGCCGGCAGAGTCTCGGGGCTTCAGAGATCTTAAGTGTGGCGACTTGGGACTTTTCCCGCAATCACATCTTTTTAATTTATTTTTTTTTCTTTTTTTCGCCAAGACCTCCACCTAAGAGCCGCTTACACTGGTAGTTCGCGGGGCTGCTGCTGCTGCAGCAGCTGCCGCGCTGCTGCTGCTGCTGCTGCTGCTGCACTCCTTGCTGCCAAAAGGTCTTCTGCAAATGTTTCTGTCTTCTCCTTTATTTGGATGGAGGCAACGCGGCTGGCGCTGGGAAGCGCTGCAGCGCGGCCGCCGCCGCTGGGTGCACATCGAGTATCCGCCGCGCAGGCGGTCGCCTCTGAAAAAGGTGAATTTCGCTGCGAACTCGGGAATTTTTGTGCCACTTTCTCGCGTTTTTTGCAAAAAAAATGAAATAAAATGTCCATTTTCTTATTTTTTCAATCAAAATGAGAAAATGGACTTTTTTTTTCATTTTTTTTGCAAAAAAAATGAAATAAAATGACCAGTTTCTTATGTTTTTAATAAACTAAGTCAAACGGGCTTAGCTGCGGGAGCTCATTGTGAACTTTCCCGCTACTGCACAGTGGCCGTCTAGGCGAGCCTCCCTCTAAGCTGGTCTTGAAGCTGGTAAATGAGTCAGCGTGCAGCAAAGGAGCCGGGATTTGTTTCGATTTGTTTCGATTTTGCGAATTTTCATGAACTTTTTGCTATTTGGAACTCCTAAAAAGCCATTATTTAGTTCTTGTTTCGATTTTGCGCATTTTCGTGAACTCTTTGCTATTTGGAACTCCTAAAAAGCCACTATTTAGTTCTTGTTTCGATTTTGCGCATTTTCATGAACTGTTTGCCATTTGTAACTCCTAAAAAGCCACTATTCAGTTCCTGTTTGGCGCTGCCAACATCTGCGCTGCAGCTGCACGACAGCCACGACAAGCTCGTCTTTGTGTGCCAAGGGTACATAGACCGTCTTTCTGTGGACAAGTTGCCTCCCGCGCTGCAGCAGCGGCTGAAGGAGCTCCGGGCCAGCCCTGTGCCTCTCTACGACGGCCGGCTGCCTTGGTCTCAGGATGTGCAGAGTGAGCCAAGTGCCGCAGGTTCTGGAGGCTGCGCTGGAAAGAAAGCAAAGTCTGCAGCAATCCTGCAGCACAGTGTGCTGCTGTGTCTGTCTCAACTGCAGGGGCCATTCAAAGGACTGTAGTTCCCTGTCTAGCTTTCGCTACGGGGCGCACTCACCAGTGAGTGACCCCCTTTCTTGTTGCCAGGGCCTGCAAGAACCTCCCATTGCACGTGGTGCGCACGGTGTACGTGTACACTGTACGCAGTGTACGTACACTCGGCTGCGCCTGCAATTTCTGTCTTCAGTTTGCTAGAGGCTTTCACAATGGATGAAGTGCTGGCGCTCGAAAAGCTCATCCCGGAAATTCGGCAGGCATTCGCAGGTAGGCCAGGGCTAGCCCTGCACGGGATACGGGGAAAGAAAAGTGGCTTTTTGTGCAAGCTTTTAGTTATTTAGCAGCAGCTGCTGCCAGAGGTTCTGGGGTTTGAGGCAGCAGCGGGTTATTTCTTGTTGAGGAAGGCCTGGGTAGCTGCAGCCACTTGGGGTGCTGAGGCGTCTGTGCGTCTCAACTCAGAAATGCAAAAACGATTGCCGGAGGACGAGGCTATTGCCGAGAAGACAAGACACAGACCCCTCGATCTGACTTAAGTAGAGAGATGCTGCTGCGCTTCCGCTTAGAAGCAGAAGCGTAGGGAGCCGAAATCTGGGCCAGCTAGTTTGCGTCTCGTGCGCAGCGCGGGCACAACCAACCCGGCCCAGAGGCGGAGTTGAATGTTTTTTTATTTGTTCCTATTTTAATTCGTTTCTGCAACCTAGCAAGAACAAGCCGTCACTTGTGGGGCCCCATACGTGGCAGCCGGGCGCCTCTCTAGACTCGAATTTGTGCAGCTGCACTCCGAAAACTGAGGAGGCAAGCCCAGCTATATCTAAAGTGGATCTGCTAGAATAGAGGCTTTTTTTGCCACACTAGCTTTGGGATCAAACTTCACACAAATAGAACAGGCACCAGCGTGCGCCCCCTACAGAAGGAGGCAGGCACCCGCGCCACTAATGTGTGCGCGTCCTTCCCTGTGAGTCTCTCACAGGGCGGCAGAAAAAAATGAGTAGGAGCTTCCTAGGCTGAGGCTCTAGCAGCGCAGGCGAGGTCCACTTAGGGTGTAAAAGAGCCAGAGGAGAGGCCCGCTAAGTCCGGCTTCTCGTCAGCTTGCGAAGCAGTTTACGCTGCCCCACCCCGCCTGGCGGCTCTTTCTTTACAAATCACATCTTCAGTAGTACTTCGCCGAAAGGCAAAAGCCAGGCGCGCCGTGAAGGGCCCAGCGCTGTGGCTCACGGCCTCCTAATGGATCGGTCACCCCTTTCTTGAAGGTCGCCTCGCCGCACGAGGATTGAGATTGCCCTGGAGCAAATCGCCATTTGCAAAGTCCGCAAAGGCGCAAATATAAGAGATATAAAAGAAAGACTAAGATGTTTCTGTTTTCTCCGAAGGCATCTACTGGTCGCTGGCTAAACAGTTGAGCATGCACCCGACTGCCTACTAGCTACACACTTGTTGTGTAGCTTCTCAGTTTGCCGTCTAGCGGCAGCGCTGCGTACCTTTGCACCACAAGCTTATCGTATCCTTGTTGCTGGAGATCTCTAACAATGTTGCGACGAAGGGCTCTTTGTCCCGGCTGCAACCGACCCATGAGAGCATCTTCCGCGAGCTGCAGGCACCCAGCACCCCACTAGCCAAGTCTCAGCAGCAGCATGGCTCTTTGCTTGCAGCAGCGCATGCATGTATCTGCTCCCACAGTGCAGCCGAATAACCTTGGCCACGGAGCCCCACGGCAATTTTGGGATTCTCCCTTATGGCCCGTGTTTCCTCGGTGGAAAGTCCTTTATACTACGCAGATGCCTAACACTAAGCCGCACCTTGACAGCTTTCTGCTGCATTGGAGTGAGGGACTCGAAGACGAGGGAGTGCTTGGCGGTCTCAGCAGTAGAGGCGGAGAACAAATCGATGGCCCGCTTGACGTGCGACGCCTGAGCTACAGGCGCCAGCTCCATGCGTGCGAAGCTGAAACAGCACATGAACGCATGCATGCAAAGACGCAGCGCAAATGTAAATTTCATCTCAGAAATTAAGTTTAAATGCAGCTCCTGGGACTGCAGTTCACAGATAAGGGCGGATGTTTCGTTCAAGTGCTCTTATACCTCTCTGCTATGCGCACTAGCGACTCCAGCTGTCGAAGAGTGATGGGTATTTTCCGTGTCGCGGATCTTCTGTCTTCCCTAACTTCTTGCCTGCGGAGGCACTGCACAGCTGCCTGACAAGGTTAAACGCAAAGCCGGGTTCGGCAGCAACTGCAAAGTTGAAAAGAATAGAAGGACCAATTAAGCGGCTAAGATGCCGGGCAGCCCGGGCTGAGTTACGAGAACAACCAAAGCAACTCTAAAAATTAGTACAAGAGAGACGACTGGAAGGAAAACGCTGCACAAGGTCACCTTGTTTGCACGTAAAAGTTCTTGAGCGCGTCCCTGGCGTCAAGGGAGAGCAGGGGTTGCTGTTGCTGCCGGGCATATTGGATATATCGCCTTAGCACGTCGAAAGGAATTATATCCCCCTCTTCTTGAGGAGGCGGCGCCGCACGCCGCTGCACCAATGCACCACAGTGTGACAAAATCCTATTGAGGCACAATCGTATTGAGACACACTTCTATGTTCCAACAAGGCGTGATAGACACAAACACACAAAGTGACCTGAACTGCGTGCCTTTGCCATTTAATGCAGGCGAACCTATGCCATCTGCACTTCTTTGATCCACATAAGTTGAATAGGTTTATCTGCGGCTAGGCTCTCATCAGCGGTTTGATCGAAAAGTATGTAGGAGGTGAGATAACATGAATTGTGTACGTGAACTCTACTAGGTGCTTCCCGACGGGAATCACTGCGCTGCCACTCCTCTAGGGCCCACGGCCGCAGTCTTTCCCAAATGAACACAGTTAACAATTAAGGAGCAACGCAAATGCCCTGCGTAGTGCGTAAAATTTTCGTTGGACACGCACCGCGTGCAGAGATAGAATATGCTCGCAGAGGCGCGAATCCTTTTCGTAGTCGTCTTTGTCCCGCAGCATGAAAATTAAGTCAAACCTGAAGAACCCACATCATTTCTAAAAATCCTCTAATGGCCCTGGATAAGCGCCAGCAGCAAACGTTTCCAAAAGAGAGAAATCTCGTTTTTTCTTTGTAAAGCAATCCCGTCAATGCAGCTTCCATCCACCCCTGGGGTGTCGACAGAGTCACTTCCTTTTGCTTGCTTGATATCACTGTTTTGCCCTAGTCACTGCCCCACCTCAGCGTGTGTCTCTGCTTATTCTGTCTTCTTTTGTCTCTCTGGCTAAACATTGAGTCTGTGAGGTCCGTGTGAGCGCTTGTAAGGGCGACTCCCTACTGCCTGCTCTACGGGTTTGAACTGTTGGTTCCATTTGCTAGCGAATGTCCGAGTTTACCTGGAAAGGATAGTTGCCTTAAATTCGTGCTGCTCAGTGGTGTCTTGGGCGTCGTCAAAGCTGCCGAAAGACGGATTGGCCGCCGCCAGTACTGCACACCTGAGGCGACCAGCGAGCCCCACAAAAACCGGCTCGGTAAATGAGCGAAATTCGAAGTTCCTTGATATTTTTTCCGGAAAAAGAATGCTGCTTCGCTCGAGCCTGCCAGGCAAGACAGGAAATGCCAACGGCGCGTGTCAGGGTTTGATGTCAGTTCGCGCGCTCTCACCTTGAATTCAAGACGGTGTTAATCCCGGCCTTTGAGATAGAAATAGTCTGCTGCTCCATGGCCTCATGCATCGCCACGACGTCGCGCTCCTGCATCTTGTCAAACTCGTCCACGCACACGACTCCTCCGTCTGCTAGACACATGCAGCCTCCCTGCACGGCGAGCAAAAGAGCCAAAGCCCAAGTTGCACTGAGCCGGAGCAAACATGGTGGGCGCACAACACTCGCGCGTAGACAGGGGAACAAACGAGGGAAATAAACACTGACCTCCAAGCTAAAGACGCCGTGGCGGTCTCTCATTACTGCAGCTGTCAGACCCGCGGCGCTGCTTCCCTTTCCTGAGATCCCACAAAGCAAGTGCTCAGACTATTGTAAATGGACGCTGCTGCAAAAAGGATTGAACGTGTATTTTTTCCAAAAAAGTTGTGCGGCTGCTGCTGTACTGGGAGACAGCAGCTCAGCAGCTGGTACTGTACCTGAGGTGTAGACTGAAATCGGGGCAAGCTTGGCTACAAACTTCAAAACTTGGCTTTTCGCGACGGAGGGATCTCCTAGGAGAAGAACATTAATGTCTCTGTACGCAATTGCAAATCACCACACCTCAAAACCTGTCACTCCCACACTTTCAGAAACATCCCCCAAGTTGCAATATTTGACACGTCTTTAGCTTTGGGGCCCCCTAAGTGGGTATGTGCATTGTGAAAAGACACAAAATAGCTGTTTAGCCCTGCGCCAGAGGCGAAGTTGCGCAGCTGCTCTGCCACTTGAGTTCAGTCTGTCTCACCCTCTAATGCGAGTGGTGTCGTTAATAATCTTGGCAGTGCCTCCAAAAAGAAGACACGCGCAGGCCCGTTTAACTTCCGTCATTCCAAAGAGAGCAGGGGCAATAGACCTGCGCAGGCCGGCAAACGCACATCCAGCAACATGGTCGTTCCAGCTACCTGCCGCTACCAAAACAGGAATAGTAAAGCCCACATAAATTCTACAGGATGCATGAAGACTCAGTGGAAGCGCATGCAAATGCTAGGAGATACAGCTAAATGATATAGGGGGCTTGAGTACAGCCCAGCGAGGTGGTTTGCGATGGCCAAGGGGTGAGCAGATGTAGAAAGAGGTAGAGACGAATGATGCCAGAAAACAGCTACGCCACACATATTTAATGTTCTTTGTAAGCATGCACAGCCGTGCTTTTGCTGCAGACATCAATGTACTAGATTACCTCGCAATTTTGTCAATGATATTCGGTTCCTGACTGAGCCTCTGGAAGAGAGAGCGCTGCTCGAGGGAAGTCAAAGTGGAAAGGAGAGGTGAGAAGTTGATTTTCTTGATTCCCAACACGTGGATGTACGCTTGCTGGGGCACGCTTTGGTCTGCAGACCACTCTCACCAGCCCTGGCGCCACTAGTAAGCTATGCGCCACTATGAAACCCGCAGCAAGAAAGCTGAATAGGCGTAGCTTTCTAGAACGTTCAACGCGGGGCACAAAAAGCCTACCGTAGCGTTCCGCGGCGACGTTGGGGGTTTTGGCGCTGACCTCCGTAGTGAGCACCCCGCTGATTATCAGTCGATCTCCCGCGGTGGCCTCGTCAACAAGAAAGCGAGAAGTGTTTAGGAGCAAGTGGCGAGGCATGTCACCAGTAGGCACCTAAAAGCAGTCGACAGAAGCAAGAAACAGCCCTACAGCCAACAAAACCCCCAGCTAGCCAGTAAGCTACGCAAAGTTCGCGGCGGCTAGCCAGAGAGCTAGCTGGCAAGTGAACAAGTGCTGGGGAGTGGGAAGCTGCTTTACGTCTTCGGGAAGTTCCTGCATCTTCAGCAACTGAACATCGACAAATGTGCATTCGTTGGTGACAATGAAATAGGGTTCCTGATTAGCAACAAACAGCCGACATATTGCGAAATATCCCTTTTCTCGCTTTGCGGAGCATTGCTAGGAAAGGCTAGTGCTTCACCAATAAAGGCTGGGAAGCAAATGGTTGAGGTCATCAGCTGCACAATGGGTCAAGATTTTTATCTATGGCGCACCGTAGTGAAGGTACACCGTGAAACTTCAACTTTCTTTCAGCGCATCGTAGAGTGCTACGAATTCAGAAACTATTTTTCTCGAGGGGAGTATTCACAATAATATTGTCTAAGAGCAGTTTGGATCAGTAGAAATTATGTAGCGTTCTACAGCTAGAGGGAAAGTAAAGCAACCTGAGATGAAAGCATGCAAAGAAGAAGAAAGAAATTTAGTCTTACCGGCTTATTTTTGCAACCCAAGTCGGATTCGCTTTGGCCAGGACCTGCCAGCTCCGACATTCTACAGAACCGCGGCATCTGCGGCTGCTCTCTCCACTCAGCTGCATGAATTATCAACTTGTGGTTGCAAAAGCGACACTGGATGGTTATTTTCTGCCAAACAAAGGGCACGCAGCTACGCAATCAGCAAATGAGAAGACACAGTCGCGCATGCGGTTAAGAAAGCTGAACACAGGCCTCTTCAGGCTGTTCGTAGTGACGTGTCCACTTGTCATTCTTTATTAGGCTGAAATTAATACGGGGATAGTTCTAATAAAGGAAGACAGACAGAACTCTAGGCCACGCAGGCGGGTGCCTCAAACTTCCGCCACCTAATCGCGCTGAGCCGCCTTTTGTGGTTCATTAAAAACTGATTGAAAATTGAAGAAAATATTGACCTGCATGCGACTTATTGGGGCTTTGCAGCTGATGACAATTCCCGTCGTGACGACGAAGTGCTCCTGCTGCTGCGAGAGTAGACTGCGGATGGCGGTGGGTTTCTTTCCCGAGTCAACAAGATTTATCTGAACGTCAAACGTGCGGTCTCGCTTGCTTCCCAGCCCCTCTGTTGCACCCTGGACTATGGCGCTGCTTGCAGCAATTTCCTCACACGCTTTTTCGCAAACTGGCAAGTATACTAAAGGCCTCTCTCTGAGGCAGCGCGCCAGCCTGTGCGCAAAGTCGGAGGGCGCCCTGTGCCGGTCTTTTCCGCAGAGAGGGGTGTTCACGCACTCCAGATCAGCTGGCTGGACTCTGTGCTGATACTCGATCAAGTCAAATAGGTCCAATTCCAGCAAGCATTTCGTGTTCTTCTCTGCTTCCGCCAACAGCTTTCGCCGCAGGGCCCCACTTCCGTGGTGCAGGTACTGCTCAAAGAATAGACGAGCCTGTTTCAAAGACGGCAGAGATTCGGGGCCTCCATCATCGGGCTCGAAGCCGTGGGGGTCTGACCTGTTGTTAGAGTAGAAAACCCGCTCGCCCTCAAACATTGTGAAAAGCGAGGATGCTGAAGAAGGACAGACGCGATACGCAGCTGACGATCCACCTCACAGGCTGCGCATAGCCCGATTAAAATGCAGTATGCTGTCAAACAGCTTGGAAGATTTCAGGGGAAAGAGCACACGATACTGATGAAGAACAACAACACCAACCCCCACCCTCCCTTAACACGGCAAGGCGAGCTAGATCTGCGCTCTTATTTCCGTCAAAACCGGCATTTAGGGTAAAACTTCAAAAATAGAAGGCAAAAAATGAATTTAAAATGAGCACAGCAAGGCCTGAGACAGTCCTGCTAGTCCTCTTCTCGAAATAAAGCACGGTTTTCAGAATAGGGCTTCACCAGTGGGTGACGCCTAAATGGTCGATGTGTTACAGCCCCCGGGTGTAGGTCTGTACGATGAAATGCAGCGTTTGAGAAGATGTTGTATTCGGATTAGTCCATAAATAAAACGTTTTAAAAATCAGAATTATTGCGATGCAAAGGAAACAACGAAAAGCCTATGTTTCACTTTGTGTCCCCTTGTGAATTGCACTCGCCGCAACTGCGGAGGTGATCTGCAATTTGTGGAGTACGCAGATTAGCAGGAGAGCTCTTGAATGGACAGCAAAAAAGCCGTTTCACTACGAGCTTTGAAAGTTTCTTCTTCAAAAGCCACTTCATTAAGTGGATGTGTATACTCTGAAAACGGGGAGCTGCCAAATGGGGCCGTTCCGGGAATTGAACCCGGGACCTCTCGCACCCAAAGCGAGAATCATACCACTAGACTAAACGGCCTCTGAGAGGCGATGCATGATGATTTCGCAGTGGCGTTTCTGATGTTCAAAAGGTAGCAAAACACAGAGGCCGCCCCCAAGGATTCTTCCCTGCTGCGCAGGTCTAGAGAACTGGTAGCGTAACCCACTCAATGCTCTCTCTGTGCAGGGCAGAACCCGCAGCTGGACTCCATCGTCAGAACTTAAAGTGCCATGCTACCACACAGGTGAACCACCACACAGTACTGTAGAGCCATTTTTGGTTTCTCTGGACCCTCCAGCCAGCCTGTAACTTCTGCAGTGGCACTAGAGGCCTTGGCCGCACACAACGGTACTAATAAGACTCCAACAAATTACAACGAAGCTACTAGGATGAACGTGCCTACTACCATCCTTTTCCCTGCAACGAAGAAAGCCTAGCGAAAACCCCAGCAAAGTTGCACAGCTAAAATTAGAACGGCCTGAGCAAGGAACCACCGCGGCATCAAGCGCCAATGGAACCTCACAAATTCAAAGAGCTTGCACAGCTGCACAGTGCGGAGAGCGCACCCGCCTGGAAATCCAACCACAAAGTTCGTGCCGTCAGGACGAAGTTTTTGGCAGGCCCTGTTGGCTGAACTGGGCCATCGTCACATTGATGCAGCAAATAAATTCTCCGATAAAGGTTAAGCTGCAACGTAGCTGATGCTTCTCGCATATGCGATGAGGCAGTGCTCAACACTAAGAGACAACGAGGTGATGCTATCTAAAGTGCCTAAGGAAAAAATTTCGCTTCGTCTTCATTCGCCCGTTTCAAAAACAAGGGCCTTCCACTCGAAGAAGAAAACCCCCATTGCTGCTGCCTTAGCTGAGCCCCATTGCCTCAGCATAGCTCGGGGGTGGAGATGACTTATCTGAGAAACCGCCGGGAGGCATGGGAGGTGCTGAAGGAGTTACGCGAGAAGGGTCGCCGTAGGGCCCATTAGGGGTATTCTGAGGAGCGCTAGGCGGCTGGTTGGATGCATAGGGGCCAGCTGGGTAAGTGCCCGGAGAAAAGCCAGGGTAAGCACTGTCATGGTGAACAGAGCCATTTGGAGTATTGAAAGCAGCCTGAGCCATTGCCTGCTGCCGACGAAACCACTCTTCATGCCGTCTAAAAGCTTCTTGCTGCTCCGCCTCTACTTCTCTAGAAAGGCGCTCCATATCAAAATCTCCACCCATGCGGCCTGCACCCGAACGCGATTGCCCCCTAGCGTCAAATGAGGGCAAAAGGCGCGACATGGCACTGTGGGCTGTAAAGAATGCCAGACACAGGAACATGATTGTCGCGATCCGCTTGCCCACCTTGTGAAAATTGTTTTTCTTGTTCAGTGGGGCTCCTTCCCCAATGACAGGTGGAATGTGCCGGCTCTGGTGAGAGCTCCCCTCCACCGCAGCCAAGTTCTTTTCTCTCTGAAGCTCCTCTTCAGTAGCATCTCTATAAAACTTACTCACAAGCTGCGGGTCGCCCTGCGCCGCCAGCAAGGCCCGATCTAGTTCTCTAGCTCGTCTTAAAAGCGAATCGCGAACTGGTTCCAAGACTCCTGAGGCCCCTTGGCTTTGCGGGGCCTCAAGATAAGACAAACCCTTCATAACGGGCGGAACCACTTGGCTCAATGCGGAGATCATCAGAGTCGCATCCCCCTGTCTCGCTACATCAAACAAAAATTGTTCTCCTTCCTCAACTAGCCTTCCAAAAGGCAACAGCATGCGCTCTGCCAGCATGCGACTCGATTCAGGAGCGCCCTCAGCAGCGCCAACAACCCCAGAGAGCTTTGTAGCCAATACAGTAATATCTGCATCGCTGATTTTCTCGAAGCTCCCTGATTCCGAACCTCTCCTATTTTCCTTCGAGGCTGTGCTGCCTGTACCTCTATTACCGCCGAGACCCACAAAAGGGGTCCTTAGTCGGACAACTGAAAAGCAGAACTGGCGTAGGAAGGCCGTCCGTTGCTGGGGAGCCGAGTGCTGCAAAACTTTGGCAAGCCGCAGAAGCGACCCCCAAGGGCTAACTTGTTGGCGGGCATTATACCCGCGGGAAGGCGCACCGTGGTGGTGGTGGAGAGGATACTGTGGCATGCTGCTTCCTTCTGTCATTGCTTCCTGCTGCACACCATACCATTCTGACCCTGGATACAACAGGGTCGAATCCGGGGGGCCGGTATGCCCCACATGAGGACCGCGAGTATATGTTGCTGGGTGTGGGTATCCTTGGTGCTGACCTTCCCCAGCGTACCTGTTGAAGTGCTCATGCCAGCACTCCACGGCAGTTTGTGAGATACAGTTAACTGCCACGACGACCAACGCCCAGCGCATCGTCCGGGCATGCATCAAGTATAAGACGGCACAGTGAAGCTTCGAGGAAGAAGTGAATATGCAACGGTCCGACGGGAATTGAGCTTCCTCTGCCGCTGCGTCACGGACAAAGAATGTGTTCAAACTGAAGGCTAGGAACTTTTGGACCTTCCTGAAAGGAAGACCTTTTCATGCTGTAAATAACACTTCAATAAACGAAGCGCGATAAATCAGACACTTGGCTGCTAGGCTATCCTTGGAGAAAAACCTCTGAAACCGGAAGACCCTTTCCAGATGCTGCAATGGGGATGGTGGCAGCAGCGTGGAGGACGCCCATGAATCGAAGCTTCTTTCTAGTGCTCCGCGCACTTGCTTACATACAAAAGTGGATTAGCAACTGTTGCCTTGTCAATTGGCAGCATTTCTCTGCCGCACGCTCCACTGCTTCCCCAGAATGGATACGGCCGCGTGCAGTGGCGCCTTCTTTGGCGTCCGGCGTTTCCTCTTTCATTCAGTATACAATTTAAATAAGCCAAGAATTTATAACCGAAAAATTCATAAACGCTTCTGAACAACTTTCTGGAGCAGGGAACACCGGCCTGAGACGGGGCATCGCAACGTGACTGAGCTGAACATGTAGTTCCTAGCACTATAATGTGCTTGGAATCTTCACGAAATTGCCAGGATGCGCAAAGTATTCCCTAGTTGGAACAAGTTTAGCGGCAATACTTGCTGCTTACAAGGTCTCAGCAGTGACCAGTCCTTGCAAGGCACAGGTGGCAGGTTTAGGGCTGCTTGTCTACCTCGTGCGGCAAGGCTCTCCGCAGCAATGATTCGCGTTGTTCCCATCTTTGTATTTCTACCGCCTTGGGCTGCGCATTTTGCATTGTATATCTCAACGTTAGTGGGAATTGGTGACCACCCGAGGCTTTTCACTTCGCCAGAGTAGTGCTTTTGGAGCAGCCGCCCAGTGTGGGGTTGCTGCTGCTGATCTGCACAAAACTGAGTAGCCACTGTTGGAAATAGCAGTGTCAAGCGGCGTAGTGCTATCACTTGCCCCCATGTCCTGTTGCATGAATTGACTGGGGCTGTGGGAATAGGAGAAGGAGCTGTGGATGAGCCGGCAATCAAAGTGGGATCAATCTAGTGAAAATTTGTTCCCGCTTCGTGCTGACTACTGCGGAGCTGAAGACTGGTGAAGAATGGCGCTACACCTTATGGTGTCGGGCGTGCATGTACCCTTTGTGGGAACTGCAATGAGCGGATACCAATTTAACGAAACTTAATTCCAGTTGTGTGGTGACTGCTTCAATCGTGGGGCCTAGTGAAGCAAGCGCTACGCCCTTCGGTGTGGAGGGTGGAATAAAAGATACATACATACGCTTCGCGTTGTCGCCTGCTTATGCTAACATGGCTCCTGGAGCGCGATGCACAGCAATTAGGGCTTGCGCTGGCCTCACGCTGCAACCGGAAAGACATGAAGTAAGTAAGCGGGAACACGGCGCATCAAATGGAAGGTGCCGAGACTCTACGGTGTAATGGAGATGCCTAGGCTTGGGGCTGGCAGCGAGCGACTTCATGCAAAAGCTCCCGAATTTCTACGGAGATCTGATTTGCTTTATCTAACTTATAAACTGTGGGGGAGTTTAATTCACGGTGAGCGGGATCCAAGTAGGGACCAGTATTGCCTTAATTAGCGCAAACTGGGGATACTCTTTTTTGGCATATCGCACACTCGCGCACACACAGGTTAGCGTAACATATATCCGTGGACTTCGGGGAGGATATGCTTCGGCGAAGTGTACGATCGTACGCGTCGGGGCATAGCAATGGAGTCTGAATGGGTAATGTTAACGGTGCGACAACGCAGTGGAAGTCCTGCAACTCACGAAGTGCATCAACAATGAGCTCATGTTGAAGAGCCATGACGAGACCTTGCAGAATAAGCACTATCACACTCTGACCTGTTTTAAAAATATCGTCTGACGGCATTACTATGGTGCCAAACAACATATTTCCATATCCAATTATCAAACGGATACTTCTGTCCTGGGTATTTCTCCATACCACCCTGGCTGCACAGCGCAGTGTACCTTTAGTAGGCAAACCCAAGCGCCAGGCCTATTTGCACGCTGCTCTTAATCGCCCTGGGGCTGAAGCACCCAATCATCCACATTTATTGTACATTTAAGCAGCATCCGTAACATAAGGCTACAACTTGTCATGCATGCAGCTATCTCACATATCTACC